GTGTAATTTGTTTAAATGCAGCACCCGCTCAATTTCACTATGTATTGTCTATTGAAAAATGCATTAAACTTCGATAAGTTTAAGGACATCAAAATTGACTTAATTAACAAGGTAAAGGCCGCTGACACCACAGATTCTCATGAAGAAAATGGAGTATTGAACCTTTTAAAAGATAAAGAATTTTTCTCTGAAGGATTACAGCTCAGTAGACATAACAATTTGGAATGCATATCTTCAGTGAAACAGAAATTGGAAAATATTAATAACTTAAAACGGCATTTAAATGATATAACGAACTTAAGACAACTTGAAAAATGTAGGTTATATAAAGAGACAGGTAGAGTTAAAACAATTGGCAGGAAAATCGTAGGAGTTTCTTCATTTTTAAAAAATGGGCATCGTGACGATTACGACGATAAGAGCGTGGAAATGTTCAATAGCAATGTTCCGCTCTATGGAGAAATCAAAAGAGTGTATAAAGATGTGTTTTGTAAAACGGTGTCCAGGAGGATCCAGAAAAAGGGATTAATAAGAAAAACATTTTTTAAAACATTCATGTTTAAGTTCATTTCTGAATTAAGAAGTAATAGTGACAGGAAGCATATAGACATAACTAAATTTAAGCTCACAGACGGAAAAGTAATTGCGTATCTTCACTGTTATAAAGAATGCCCCCCTGAAAAGGTACACCATGTTAGAAATGTGCAGATTTATTTAAAGAAGAAAATTTATTATAAATCTATCATTACAAAAAAACGTGTTAATTCTGTAAAAAGAAATAGACAAATGCGAACATGCTTAAGGAGGGAAAAGTCCGAATGGTATTGCGATGATAGGAACGAAGTTAAAAGCGGCTCCAACGAATTGCATAATGCACAAGAAAAAGTATATACAAACCGCGAGAAAGATGGAAGGAACCAATTTAACAATTTCTGTGCCGATAACTGTGAAGAATCATCCTTTTTGGTGAAACCATTTGAGAGGAAGCAGCTTCCTAACAAGAATGCTCCTAATTCTGTAATGGAAAGATGGAATTGTTTACAGTCATCTACAGACAATGCAGACAAGAAGGTAAAAGTTAACTCGCATAAGTGTCGCAAAAGCTGCTTCTCAATGAAGTAGACCACCTATTGAGAATAGAAATACATTCGTAAAAATAAGAACGAATGGGCTTTTCTTCTTAAAAATTTGCATATATATATGTACGTGTGCGTGATTTCCCCAATTGGGGTAAACACTTAGCTTCACAATGGGCAATTTTACCTTTCGCAGGAATTTCACAAAAACACAGGGTCAAAGGCTTACATAGAGTTTGTGAGCAGGTGCGGAGAGGCAAGCACCGGCGAAACGGTCAAGACTTTGACCGAACTGGGATACAAGAAGAATTTAAGAAATCAAACCTTCAGTAACCTTGGAAATGGAGAAATGAAAGATGTGAAAAAGACTAAGGAAATGTTCGAAACTCACAATTCGAAAAATGTACATAAAAATTCATCAAGTCAGAAAAACATAAATTTCAGTGAACTCCGCAGAGTGAGCAGCAGTGACCAGCAGAACAATAAAAAGGAATTTAAAAGAATCAGGGACCCCCGTTTTCATTTTCTCAGCAATAATGTTAACTTTTACGAGACAGTGATTAATGAAGAGAAGTGTAAAGCAGAAAATACAAAAAAGGGCGATAACCTTTCCGATCAAAATATAATGCAAAATGGAGAAATGAACGAAATAAAGCAGAAAATCAAAACTGCACTAATCAGCCTGAATAATATAAGAAAGAACAATTATAAGTTAAAATTTTGTCTTGAAAAAGAAATTATAGATAACACCATTCACCAAAATGAGGTAAAAAGAAGTTTAGGTTCCGTTTTTAGTGAAAATAGTGCACATAAGAAAAGTGCACATAAAAATAGTGCACATAAAGAGAGTTCACAGGTGGGTCGAAATTTCCCCGACGGGGGAAGTAAAAATATAGACAAGCGCAGAAATAGCAGACACGATGGTGAGAAGCATCACGGGCAAAAGGATAAAACGCAAAGAGAGGAAAATGCACAAAACGGTTTCTTCAATCATGTTAGGAGCATAGGCGAAAAGGCCACATGGGAGGAAAAGGGCGGCAGTGGTTGCAATAGTGTCAGTTGTGAAAAAAATAAAAACGAACGTCTTCACTCAACCGAAGAAGGTGTCAAATCAACGCGCGCCGTTATAAAAAGAGATCAAAATGAAGGCAAAACCGAATTAGTTAGTAAGATGGAGGCCCAAAGGAATCGCTTTAACGAATCGCGGGGTACCGAACTGGTTCAAAAGCGTCGCACAAACGGGAAAAACGAGCAAAATTTACCAAAAAGCGACATAAAACTGAGCAATTGTGCATTTACATTAAATGGAGAAACGCCAAATAGACATATCTGCAGTGGTAAAGGTCTGAAGGATAAAGAGAAAAGTGGCACTTTAAATAACACCGCAAAAGTGCATAATTGGGAAGGGGCCGTTCAGGCAAAAAAGAACGGCTTAAAAAATAACGAAAAGGAAAAGATTTCTAGAATTGACGAAAGGGCACATAGTACCTTTTTATGTCACCTAAAAAGCAAAGTTGAAAAGGTAGAGACGAAAGAAATGGAAAGAAAAAATGAATACAGCAAAATTGGAGGTAAACATAAAAACTTAAGCGGGGTGAACAAATCGACAAAGGAATTTAAAGAAAATAATAACTACGCGAACAGAAAGAAAAGCAACGAAACAATTAAAAATATTGAAGCAAATAATTTGAATAGCCCCTTGGCTGATGACAAAAGAACGCATAACATAGTTGCTAATTCGAGGGATTGTACGAAAAAATTTACAGCTTCAGAAGAAATCCTTTGTGATGAAGCAAATAGGGAAAGGAAGAAACAGTTTGACCTAAGTAACGTAAGAAACATAAAAAAAATAATAACCTGCGGAATATATGTAAACAAAGAGGTGGACCGAATAAATAAAAGAAACAAAATTGCAATAAGCATAATTGAGAACTATTTAGAAAGCACAAATAGGACATGTTCATTTTTTTCCAAGCAAAAGAAAGCGTATCTTCAGAAAAATTGTATAATAGCTCGGAGGGAATATGACAAAAAAGAGGCCAAAGTTTTCCCCGGGGTGTATGACCATTACGCATTTCTACTGCTTAACGTTAAAAATTACAAAGTTGTGTGATGTAAGAAAAACCGTAATCGTCTTAACGATTAACAATTAACAATTAACACTTTTTTTTTCGTTACGCTGCTATGTTTTAGTTATTTGTTCATGAAATGATAAAATTAAAATTATGACTTTTTTTTTTTTTTTTTTTTTTTTTCGTTAAAGAACAGGGAAGGTGATTCCTCCCGCTTGTTTTCTTTTCATTTCCTTTTTTTTAGAGTACTAATTAACTACCTTACCTTTTGTGTCATTTGTTAGCAGTTATAAAATATATGTGTACTTGTGCATTTGCACCATTGGGAAAACTCGTTTTATTTAGCTAGTTCAAAAAAATGCACAATGGCGTTATAATATGTCTTTCCTCTTATGTAGCCATTTCCATGGCACATGTTAAACTTCGATAGCACGTTCTGTGTGACCCACTAAAAGAGTAAGCGTAAGGATTCGAATTCGTTCTACCACGTTGTAAAGGCTGATAAATGTTTAAAGAACAAATTACAGACTCATGTGCGGGAAAAATCGAGCTCGTTTTTTCTTCAAACACTGGGAAAAGGGAACGCACTTAAAAATGACCCTCTCAGCAATTGATAGCTTCCTTTTTTAATCTGCATTTGTGGAAAAATAGTAGACACATGTTTTGAAAAGAAAGAAATTTGCCCTCAATAGGCGCATACTTGTGTGTAATCGCGGCCTTTTAAACAAACACCAATCGTCATGCATTTTTCTGCCTTTTCCTCCCCGATGGCGCAAAACGGGCAGTGCTTATAAAGGCACATTGTTACTTTTGCATAGTGTTACTTTTGCAGTGTTACTTTTTAAAATTATATATATGTTTTTCCCCACAAAAAATCGGGAAATTACGACAATATCGTTTATAATGATAGCTTTGAAGCCTTATGCGCAGATAAGAAAAAAACGTTACTGTCTACACTTCCTACGGGCGTATTACCTATCAGGATGAAAATGAGAAGGTACAATTTGATGCAAAATACATTGCAGAAGTAACCACGAAAATGGCGTACTCTTCTTATGTGTAAGAAAAAAAAAAAAAGCAAAAAAATAAAAAGCACATATTTGCGCACTGCACATTTTGCTATGTATTTTATTCTGTTTTTACTCATTATGAAGAAGGCCGAATTTTTTCTTTATTTTTTTTCCATCATATGACTGTACATTTTTGCAATATAGTGATTACATGTTTGACGAATGTGTACATTGCTGAATAAATTTATTTGAAAATGGGAAAAAGGGTAAATTAAAATGTTATATAGACATCCCTTTCAACTTTATAATGTACACACTTTGCATTTTTCGGCAAAAAATAAACTCACGTGTACCCTTGTGTTTACATTTACGTCAGAACAGTTTCGCTCGGAAAAAAAAATCAACTGCAAAAATGTTGACGCGTAGGAATTAAGTCTTTCGCATATGGGACTTCAAAAGATTGTCCACGCGTGCCTGCGCAGGGGGGGAGGGGGTGTATACATACGTAAAGTCATACATACGTACATACATATACACATACACATGTATGCATTTTTGTGCGTAATTTTTCATATATGCGCATCCGCGTGCGCGAGCACCCCCGCCGCGTTTGCCAAGCGAACAAAACAGGAGAAAGCAAATTTACCCCCCGAGTGATGAACGCGTTTTAAGTGCGCAAACGTGTTGGGCGTCACCTATCACGCAGAGCTTTCCCCCCCCAGTATTGATAAAGATAAAGCAGAAAGCTTAATCCGCTCTCAAATAAAAATACATACATGGTCACCCATGCATGCATGTGGGAACCCCACTTGAAACGGCATACAAAATAGCACAGTGACAAAATGAACAGTAATTCAATCTTCGAAAATCTGAGCGATTTCTCAAATTCGTACGTGGACAGAATTCACAGGAGGGAAGAGGACGACGACGCCAATATATCGTTCCTGTGCAAGAGGAAGGAAGAAGTTCTACATAATAGAAGGGTGAATATTGATAATTTACTCCTAAATAGTGAGTACAATTTCGTAGCGCAGTTAGACATAGTTAATAAGCACATCCCTGTGGAACCCTACACACCAGACCTTTCTCATCATGTGAGGGGAACTAAACGGAGTGACAAAAGGTTTGGTGGTGCAGATGGGGACCCAAGCCGGCAAAGGATGCGGCCGAAAATGACCTCCAAAGTGCTGCTGCCCCCAGTGGGGCAACTGGTAAGGAAAAAGGCCGAGAAAAATGCTAGGCAAAGCATGAAGCAAGCGGTTAAACAAAGGATCGCGCAAACAATGCGAAACAACTCATCAGAAGAGGTGGGTCTAGGGATACGAGAGAACACACCTCAAGCGTTAGATCGAGGAACACGACAGAACACACCTCAAGCGGTAGGTCGAGGAACACGACAGAACACACCTCAAGCGGTAGGTCGAGGGATACGACAAAAAACACCCCAAACGGTAGGACAAGAGGGTAGGCATGGCGAGGAACCCGGGGAGATGCATACAAACGAACGAGACCAAGAAGTGAGCGAAGAAAAACATCTCAGCAGCCCCACTTCTTGCTCCGACTCGTATGACAAAAATATGTACAGCAATTATTATCTACTGAACAAAAGTTGCGCCTACTTAAAGTCAAAATGTGTTAGGGATACAGTTTTAGATCCATATACAATGGAGGTGGAGGAACGGATCAATGGAAACCACCAGGCTAATCTTGGTGATGAAAATGATGAGAAAGATTGTCACACGTGTGTCGAGAGTTATCCTTATGATAACGAAAAAGTGCCTAAAAAAAGGGCGTTCCATTTCAAAATTGATAAGGAAGAAAAAGATTCCGATTTGGGAACATATAATGGTAATGTGAGCTCGGACATATTACTATATAATAGCGAATGTGATGATGGAAAGTACCCGGATAAAATAGAGACATATGATTCTTTAAAAGAATGTGAGTATGAAAATGGCACCAATTCTGCGGACCGAACAAAATACGACGATGATGCATCATCTTTCGAGATGCTACACATTTTTGAGAACGAAAAAGACACCAACATTTCAGATATAAAAAATTTCTCCATGCGCACACATTGCTACAGACACAGTGGAGAAAGGTATGCAGAGCAAAAAAAAGCATCATCGAGTAACATGTCTCAATTGATGAAAATAAAATTTCTAATAAATAAAAGAAAAAATTCATCCAACAGAAAAAATGCAAGTTGCCCATTTTGTGATCATAAAAATAACAACATATTTGTAAAATTCCTCACGGCTGAAATAAAAATAGAAACAAAGATATACAAGTTAATTTTATTTCTCTACCTTTTGATACTATTGTCACTCTTTAAGGATATATCTAATTACATAGTTATTACAAGAAAGTGCTACAACATATATGAAAATCCAATAAAATCTATTAAAAGAATATTAAAATGTGTAATTTGGGCTTTAAAAATTGGGTATAAATTCACTTGTCCATTTATTCTGTATCTGTTATCATTTTTTGGTGTAATAATTTTCCGCACTTTTTTACTTCTCAATATTCCTATCTTCCTTTTGTTACTTTATTGCAAATTTTTTCTGAAAAATGAGGATTCCACTGTTAAGCTGTACCTCCTTTTTGTTGTCAACATGTACAAGTATATTGTTTTCCATCTTGTTCACATTTTAAAGAATTATTCCAATCACATTTGTTTTCGTGATTTTTTGTCTGTCCTTTGCGTATCCTTTCATTTCATTTTTGTTTCCCTCTATCGAATTGTCCACAGAATTTACACTAATAAAATTCGTTAAGTTTTTTCGTTCAAAATGGGGAGCCATCGGATAGCTTATGTGTGTCGGGGGTGGAGTGCTTGTCAATATGCGCAGCGCTAATAAATATCGCATATAAGCTTCATTAGAGACATGAAAAATGAAACTTAGCAGGGGCTAATCGTTCCCATTAGGCGAGTGTTTCCTCCTTAAAGATGGCTACGAAAAATAAGGGCAGGGTCACTACCCCAGGTATTAACTCGGACGTTCATTTTCGCCTTTTCGTTATTTGCGCCTTTTCATTATTTGCGCCTTCCCACTTCCTCCCCCTCCCGCTGTTTCATCGCCTTGGAAAAATGCCTACCCTGAGCTGCACGTGGCACGCGCGAAGATATGTCCCCCCGAGAAATGTTATAGAGTGAACCACCCCACGGAGGTTCCTGTGATCTGTGTAAAAGCGTCGCGGTGGGTTTAAGCTTTTTTTTTATGGCACAATTTTATTGCACCCTTTTGCGCATCCTAAACGTCAGATCATCGATGGGCGCTACTCACTAGAAAGGAACAAAATCGACGATTTGTAGCTGCACAGCACATTTCACAAGCCGTTCTTCGCTTAACTTTGCGAATTTTTAAACCCGCTTAACGAAAGAGAGGGGGTAAAAATGCGCGAAGAAAAAAGGGGAAGCTCGTTCTTGCAGTTATTCCTACATAGATATCCACACATGTGCGTGTAAGTATTTCTGTTATAAACGTAGGACCACATCTCGAATTGGCACAAAGCGCATGAAAATTTCTTGCAACGAGCTTCCAGGTTTTGGAACCCCCCCACATACACACCTTTAGCGTTCACATTCAGTATAGTCCACATTTAAGTGATTTTAGAAAATTCCAGAGAAAGAGCTTAACATGGATACTCGAGCGAATATTGTAAACTCGATTATACACTCATTAAGGCGGTGCACTAACAGGAATAAGTGTAATTTTATCCCCCCCCCTCCGCCTCTCATTTATTTTGGCTAGCATTCGTGCGCGTCCATGTGTGCATGTTCACACGTACCGGCGAGTGCCCATTGATTACCACCCCCTAACACTTCCCCTCCACTTGCAGATGTGCTTCTGTTAAACGAGCTCCTTTCCCTCTTCCCACTGCACGCCGAAAAGAGCCTAAAATTGTGCCTAAAGTCTAAAATTAAAAAATACACCTTGATAAAGGAGGAGCGTCCTGCGAAGGATTATCCGTTGTATCGTAGTCAGTTCAGGGGAAATAGCAAAAACTGCCGTTGGACAAGTCATGATGCATGCTTAAGTGATTGCACCGATATTGTTAGAGCGGAGAAAAGGAAGGGAGGTCTATGTGACCATATACTTCCTCACTTTAAGAAGACGAAAAAGGAAAAGAAAAAGACGAAAACCCGTTTGCATTTCTTTGTAGTCCGTGGAAATAACCAGAAATATCTCGTGTTCCAAAATTTCTGCTCATGTTTTTATTTTAAGGAAAAAGTTCTGTGCAACGATACGAACGTAATGTGTAAGCACATTTTGTCCGTCCTCCTGGCGGAGAGCTTCAAAAATTACGTGAACATTTTCCTAGATTCGAGTTTGTTTTTTGAGTGGCTCATGAAGAAGCTGCATGCTTGATTGGAGCCCCAAGTCTGGTCAAAGGGGAGCCGTTTGTAGGCACAGTTACGCAGCGTCACGCAGCGTGCGACGCAGACATACCACGGGCGGAACCCATCTGCACACGCCTGATTTTGTGTCTGCTTTTGCGCATCCTTTTGTGCATGCTTATGTGTGTTCGCCCGGCGGGAGGGAACTCTGGCCTGCCGCTTGCCCCCACGAAGCAAAAGGAGAGAAGGAGTGCCCCTGAGGTGGCGCATTCAGCTAAGCTGCGTTCCTCCCCTTTAATCATTTTTTTCCTTTTTTGTAACTTTTTTTAATTAACGATAGGAAAAGAGAAAAAAAAAGGAAATAAGTTTTGGGAAATAATAGTAATAATGATAAGAAGAATAGGAATAATAATAAGAAGAAGAATAGCAATAAGAATAATAAGAATAATAGTAATAATAACAAGGTTCAGGGTTTATATCAAAAATAGCTGCAAATGTTGTGTAAGTGGTAAAGGAATAAAACAAAATGGAATGAAAAATTGGCGTGCAGATATCTGCGTGCGAGCGCATGAGCTTCGCAAGTTGCAAAAGAATGCGCATAATGCGTTTCGAAATAAGAACACGATTATTTCTACTTGTTATTTTGCGCGTTCGGGGGTTAACACATGTGCGTATGGGATCGTGTCCATGAGCGCGCGTAAGTGCGTACTAAAGTGTGGATAAAGACTCCCTGGGGCGCCTTTTCCCACTTGGAATGCCCATTAGGGGGGCCCGAAGGGGATGAAAATAAACCCACATTTACTGAAAAATCGCCTCCCCCTTGCAGGGAGAAAAAGTGCAAAGGGATACATATGTATACACATATGCATATATATAGATATATATACGCAGAAAAAGTCGTCGGGGCGATGTGCGAATGTGTGGTACTCCTCTCTTGGGACACACCTCACGCGTGACTCCCCTTGGACAAGCGTCACCTTTTCCGTAAAAAAAAATTCCTACTTGAAAGAGGTTCGCACGGTGCAATTTGGCTACTTGTGAGTGCTTTCGTTTAACTTTCGCTATGTTGCGCTTTTCGCAAACCTCGTCAGGCTTTCCATCTACCTTGTAACGCTTCCCGTCTACTTGGCCTCGCTTTACTTCTCCTCCCTTTACTTGGCCTCGCTTCTCCCCTGCGCAGTGCTTCCCTCGGCCGCTAACCCTACTTGTGCGAGTGGCCGAAATTCTTCCCTCTTGGGGGATAGACGTGCGAGCCGTCAATACGATTGCACATATGCTCCTCGAGATCCTTCCGCAAGTGGTTTCTAACACTGTCATCTGGCACCGTCGTGTACCAGATTTCTATTCTTACGTACCCATGACGCGTGGTGCTTAATTTATCCACTAGTCTTATCCCTGTTATTAAATTGTAATGTTTTAAAGTGCACCCAATAATAGCTAACACAAGGTTATTCCAAAATTCATCTATCTGACTGTATGGAAAATCTCTCGGTACAAATTTATATTCAAAATGACCACCTTCCGAATTAGCTGGGTCTTCCCACATGGGCTGAATATTGTCTCGAAAAATCATGAGAGCATCTATAATGCGAAGAGTCCCATCTTCAGATAATCTCGTCATACTTTTCTGTGCAAGTAGGTCACTTGGCTGAGGTAATCTATTCCATAGTTGCCAGAATTTCTGTACACTATTAAATTTAGCCAAAGGCCTTGTGTAATCCTTATAGTTATTACTCTGTTTAATTTTGTTGTCTGACACTTGTTCCCATATCACCCAACTGTATTGTAGTAGCAGTGGGTTCGCTAGGTCTATCTTTGTTGCTTCTAGCTTTTCACAGAGGTCAAATGCGTCCTTATTGCTTCTATTAAATGTTAGGTACTTCATTTTGCTGGCAGGGTGTATGTCTCTGGGGTGGTCACTTATTCTGTCACACTGTCACAGCTGTTTGCCTTATAACGATTTGCTTCAAAACTGTTTCCCCAGTGGGTATATGTTTATGCGTGTGGGTGGATATTTCCCCTTTGCCAGCGGGAAAAAAGGTGTTTTTTCTTTTTTTTTTCAGTCTGCTCTACGCAGTTATTTCTTTTCCTTTTAGAGAAAAACACAGATATGAGGGGGGCGGCGGTGGCTCAGAAAATGTGTGTCCTTTGAAAAAGTTGACTTTTCACCCTTTACGCGAACGGCACACGCAGAAAAAAAAAATGAGGTACCCGCGTCAGGGGCTACATGTACGGACGTACGCCGATATATGCATATGTGTAGTATATGTCCCTTTTTTTTCCTCTAAGCATAAGTTGAGAAGCCGTTCGCAGGGGTACAATTTTATGTATACATATACGTATGCGTATGTATATACATTTGCGTATAACCCCTTTTGCAAACGTCCGATCGTGCAAAACGAAATTCGCGTTTATTCACATGCTACTATACAGAATGATGCGAAGTCCTCTATGTTAGCCGTTTTTTAAAGCCTTTGGTCTTCAAGCCAACAAAATGAGGAAAAAAAATGTTAAAACGTGAAAAAGGCCGCTAATGCATCGATAAACGTCGCAAAGTGGACGTCAAGAAAAAAAGAAAAATGATAACTCTCTGGGTACATAAATGTATCATGTATATGCAATATGCAAGAATATCCAAATTGTATGCAAATATATGCAAATATATGGAAATATATGCAAATGTATGCAAATGTATGCAAAATATGCAATATATGCAAATATATACATAAATATAATATAGTATTTTTTTTTTAAATTTTTTTTTTTTTTTTTCGCTGCCGTACGTCCAAAGCGAAAAAGAAAAGCCACATCCCCGCATAGGAAAGAAATTGAAGAAATGTATATATCCTCGTGTCGTTTGTCAGCTCATTTTTTTTTTTTTACCACTTTTTCTGGGTAATGATATAATAAAGGTCTACCTATTTTTTGAAAAAAAAACGCAACAAAATAGGCAGAGTTAATTGGAAATGCCCCAATTTTTATCTTACTATAATTCGAAAAAAATGTACCATATGGCATCCGTACTGCATGAACATATCCTACATGTAATGTTTGCTTAGGAACGAACAAAGTTATAAACTATTTTAGTTAACCGTTTTGCATGCATAATAAATGAAGGGGGTTCCAGGATTCCCCAGTTCACTCTTCATAGTCCAGAGTTTTTTCATTCTTAAAGAAGATCAAAATTTATAGGCATATAACATGCGTCCTCTCGCTCTACATTCCACGGAGAATTAAAGAAGGGATATACCTCCCCAATTGGCTATCGAATTAACTCGAATTGTAGAAAATAAAAAATAAATGGATGGCGTTGCGATGGACAGCTACAGGCCGATAGGCAGCGGATATCTTTGCCTGGGCAGGAAAATTTATTTTCTTACCCATTTTTCATTTTCGGTATGACAGGAACGTACACTTTTATATTTACGGTATCGGGCAGAGACTCGCGAACACAGCGGTTATTTGTTTTTTTTTTTTTCTTCTTGCGCGTTTGTTCGTCCACCCGTCTGTCATTTTGTTCGTCCATTTTGCCTGTCATTTTGTTCGTCCATTTTTCCTGTCATTTTGCCTGTTCGTTCATTTGCTGACATTTTTATCACTCCCGCTTAAACACCCTTAATCGAAGTATGGACTTGTGGAACCACTACTAGACCTCTTATTTTTGCATGCATATAATTCATTCTTGCCCACGTAAAAGGAACGTCAAAGGGAAAGAAACGCTCATGATAATGAAAAATAAACGCGCTCTTTAATGACCATGAAGGGGAAAATAGGGAAATTTATAGCAAATAAGTCTAAAACGTCACATTCGAAAGTTTGAACAGATGTTTTAACTTTTACTTATTTTGTGCATTAAATTGGAGGGGAGCATTTCAGTCCCTAAAATTGGAAGTTTAATTTGTTGTTATAAGGGTGTGTTTATTTAAACTAATACATGTTCCCATTTTTTACCGCCAAATTCAGAGACGTTTTAAACACCCACTTGAATCACTTCTAAGAGCTAGAAAACTGTAGCTGCATGCATTTTTGCCTGAACGGGAGGAAAGTAAAAGAAAATTTTATTTTCCAGACGGATTCACAACTGAGGCGCAGAGAAATGGACATGCAATATGCATGCCCTCATTTCAGGGATATTTTACTTATTTTAAAAACGTTTTTGCCGAATATTTATCATTTTAACAGTAGTGTTTCTTCCTAGTTTAATAACACCACTAGGTTTTTCTTTGCTATATATGCTATTACGTAAGGTTACTCACTATTTGATGATCACCCTTTTTTTTTATTAGTTTCTATTTCCACCACATTGAATTCTTTGCTTTATCATAAAAGGGTTTATAAAATTAGGGAAGTTTTCTCTTAAAATGGATGACGATTAGCTGTCTTTTTTTTTTTTTTTTTTTTTAAAAGTGATTTTAAAAATTAAGATGGAAAGAGAAACAATCAACGAATTAGTGGAAAAGTGGGCAACACGCTCAATAGCAACTTCTGTGCTGAGAGGGTGGAAATGTAAGTACGTTTTTTACTTCTCGAAAATGGCTACCAAAGTGAACGTTAAAAATATGTGACTGCCCATAATGTGGCATTGGTTGCAAGCTTGTGTATTCCTCAAAGGAGTTTTCACGAACGTTTCGAAGATAGCACCGCAGGCAGGTGTCTGAACAAATGACTCTATAAACATGTACATATATGTGCACATATACATATGGACAAATTAAGCTTTTTATTTATTTGGCTGAGTGCCGCATCTAACACGATTGTTCGGCTGCTTAGTCATTTTTATTACGAAGAAAAGAATATAGCTTTTTTTTTTTTCTTCTTCTTCTCTCTAAGCTATAAAGCAGGGTAACAAGCAAACCAATTTTAAAAAACATAATGTTAAACGGTTGAAGAAAAAAAAAAAAAAAAATGAAGATGAAACATTAATAGTAAGCTGAACTAGCCAAAAGGACTTTTATGTTAATAAACTTAGCAAAATATTACGTACAGGCAAATATAAAAAGTATTCCTGTCTTCATTTTTTTTTTTTTTTTTTTTGTTCAGGCAAAAATAGGGAACAGCGTAGCGCAACCTGGCCGTTCAGACTACTACGTCGGGCGGGTTATTTCTCTTAAAAATGCATTCAAGTTTTTTTTTTTTTTTTTTTGTTCAGGCAAAAATGTAGACAGAATAGCTATCCAAGGAATAACCCCCACAGAACACGAACAGCTGCGAATGTAGAAAAGGTCTGTTCTTTTTAAGCTGATAACCATAATTGCAGTTATGCTCATATTTTATAAACCAGAATTGGAAATTAGGAAAAAGACAGGGGACAAGTGACAGCTTTTTAGCTGTATGGTTAGCTAGCTATTTGGAAAAAAAAAAAAAAACTACAACATTACAACACTACAACAACTTCGATTTGAAAATAAACTTTTACGGCTATCGTTATTATTGTTTTCATTTTATTTACTTAATTTGCTTATTTACTTTCTCATTTACATATTCGTTTCTGCAAAAGTTTATAAATTGTACAATTTTTAACTTCTTATTTCTCCATCATTATAAGTTTCTTATGTCTACTTTAACAGTGCATGTTCTTCGTGTTTTTTTTTTCGTTCTTCTTGTATTTTTCATCTCCCATTTTGTTTCATTCACCTTTTTTTGTTCCCTTGACCGTTGACCCTTTTTTTGTTTGACCTTATTTCCCACGTGTGTCTTTTTACGCCTTTCACCCGTTCAAGACCCCACAACGGACTTTCACATACCCACTTCTTCCAAGGCAGCTTTAAATATCCATTTTTTCCGAATCTGTTTCTCTACCTGAAATATCTTTCATTCTTCATGTTTTTCTAGTTCTTCATTGTATTATACATTTTTTCAAGATTAATTTCTCTTCCCCTTTTTAAGCGTAAATGCAAAAAAATACGTCACATTTAATCTTTAAAAAAAACAAGTGAAGGACAAATGAATAAGTCTTTTCTGTTAATAGCTTCCTACTTCTTCCTTGTTGCTCATCTTGGCACGGTGATAACACAGCGTAGCCAAGATGAATCTTCTCACCAGTACGTCCACTTGGCAGGGAATGGCCGCAACGTAAAGAAGGCTACCCTCGATAATGACATACCTGAGGGGGAAATATTAACAAAAAAACAGTCTTTTCTTCAATATGACACTTTAGCAGCAGGATCACCACCAGCGCAACCACCAGCACCACCATGCGTAGGTGACGACGACTGCTTTTGTAAGAATTTTTACGACTTGACTTTAATTATCGACGAATCTGGAAGCATAGGAACTAAAAATTGGGAAAACCATGTCATCCCATTTACAGATAAAATCATAAGCGACTTACATATTAGCGAAAATGAAGTCCACGCAGGAATCTTGTTGTTTTCCAACCTCAACAGAGACTACGTTACCTTTGATGAAGACGAAAGTTATAAGAAGGATCAGCTTTTGAAAAAAGTGGACCAGCTAAAAAAAAAATATGGTGCTGGAGGTGGAACCAAGATTTTCTCAGCTTTGAAATACGCATTGGACAAGTACACTCACCATAAGAAAGGGAGACCCAATGCCCCCAAAGTAACCATACTTTTTACTGACGGAGACGACACTTCCATAACCAGCACTAATATGCTCCTTGATATGGGATTAACGTACAGAAAAGAAAACGTAAAATTGTTAGTTCTTGGTGTTGCAGAAGCGAGGGAGAGTAATTTAAGACTAATAGCTGGCTGTGGAGAAAAAAATGCCCCTTGTCCATCTGCCATGAAGGCGGAATGGGAAACTATAAATGATATAACGAAAAAGTTAACGAACAAAATATGTCACACGGAGGAGGAAGACGATGAGACCATCACTGGTACTACTCCTACCCCCCCGCAGCAAAATCCATGCCAAGGAGATGACTGTTTCTGTGAAGACTACTACGACTTAACTTTAATCTTAGATGAATCCGGAAGTATTACCCTGAATAAGTGGAAAGTTGATGTTGTCCCCTTTGCAGAAAAGTTAGTAAGTAATTTAAACATAAGCAAAGACAAAATACACTTAGGCATTATGCGTTTTGCCGTTAAGGTAAAAGAAGATGTTAGTTACGGACAGGAGACGAGATACGACAAAGATGCCTTAATACATGTAGTTAAAGGATTGAAAGAGCAGTATGGAAGAGGACAAGGAACCCGACTTGTGGATGCCTTAGAACACTCGCTCCGAAATTTCACGAGACATCCAAACAGTAGGGCCAACGCACCTAAAGTGACCATTTTATTCACGGATGGCAATGAAAATTACAGAGGATCCAGACAAGTACGCGATATAGGATTAAAATATAGGAAGGAAAACGTGAGGCTCATTGTGGTAGGGGTTTACAAAGCTACCATAAAGAGTCTAAAAATGTTGGCTGGCTGCAATGAGAATGAGCCCTGCCCGCAGGTCATCAAGTGCGATTGGGACCAGCTGACCAGCATAACGCAGCTGATCACGGATAAGATATGCGACATAGATGCGGGGGAGGTCCCGAGTTTGCCAGACGGTGCAGAGAAGCCAGACGGTGCAGAGAAGCCAGACGGTACGGAGAAGCCAGACGGTACGGAGAAGCCAGACGGTACGGAGAAGCCAGACGGTGCAGAGAAGCCAGACGGTGCAGAGAAGCCTGACGGTTCGGAGAAGCCAGACGGGGCAGAAAAGCCAGACGGTGCAGAGAAGCCTGACGGTTCGGAGAAGCCAGACGGTACGGAGAAGCCTGGATCAGGAGGCCTCGCCGAACCAGACCAGCAGAACCCCCCATGCACAGACTGGGACGACTGCTACTGCAAACACTTCTACGACCTAACCCTAATTTTGGACGAATCGGCAAGTATAGGCAATTTCAGATGGAGCCACGAAGTCGTTCCGTTTGCGACAGAAATTGTAAAATCATTACACGTGGGATACGACGCAGTGCACGTGGGACTCTTACTCTTTGCTGACTCAAGAAGAGACATTGTGAGATTTTCCGACGAAACCAGATATGACAAATCGTTCCTGTTGAAAAAGATAGACAGCTTAAAAGTGGATTACAGAAACGGGAGGAAAACCTTCATTGTGGGAACTCTGGTATATGCATTAGAGAATTATACAAAAAGCTCAATTAGAGTTAAGGCCCCGAAAGTAACGATGATCTTTACAGATGGTAATGACACCAGCGCGTCAGATGAGAGATTATACAACACTGGCTTGTTGTATCGGCGAGAAAAGGTGAAGTTACTAGTGTTGGCTGTTTCTATGGCTGATGAGAAAAAGCTAAGGCTATTAGTGGGCTGCACGCGAACTCAAAACTGTCCATTTGTGATTAAGGCCGAGTGGGGACAATTGCCCAGTCTTTCAAACGAATTCGTGAAGAGGATATGCAGCTCGGGTCCTGTAATACCTCCCGAGGACGGAAGCACCCCACCACCACCGCCACCTGAGGTGGATATCCCGACGGATCCAGAACCAGCTGTTCCCCCATGCCAGGGAGATGAGTGCCTTTGTCAAAGCATGTACGATTTGACTTTAATTCTGGACGAATCAGCCAGCATAGGAAACTCGAATTGGAAGAAACAAGTGTACCCCTTCGTGGAAAGGCTCGTAAACAAGTTAGAAGTTTCGGAGAACAAGGTCCATGTCGGGATTATGCTATTCGCTAAACATATGCGAGATTTTGTGAGGTTTTCCGAAAAGGAGAGTTATGAGAAAGACAGTTTGATGAGGAAAGTCCCCGATTTGAGAAGTGCATATAAGGCTGGGACACACACTTACATAGTGGAGTCTCTAGAGTATGGCTTACAGCATTATACAAGGGGGCCAAGCAACAGGGCAGATGTACCCAAGGTGACCATCCTCTTTACAGATGGGAATAACAGCAAGTCTGGAGATGAAATTCTGTCCAACGTGAGTTCCCTGTACAAGAAGGAGAATGTGAAACTGTTGGTGGTTGGTGTTGGCGCTGCAAGTATGCCTAAGTTGAGACTACTGGGGGGATGCCACAAGACGGAGGGAGATTGCCCCTTCGCTATAAAGACAGATTGGGACAGTCTCAAAGATATATCACAGGGAATGGTAGACAAGATATGTGACACAGATACGGAGATAACCCCACCACCACCATCCTCAGGAGGGGGTGAAGTGGCGCCTCCATCATGCACCGGTGACGAATGCTTCTGTAAAGACTACTTCGACTTGACATTTATAGCGGCCCCGTCCATAAAGAAAAATATTAGAAGGAAGAATGAACTGACGAAATATGTTACGAGAATTGTTAATGCGTTTAACGTAGGTGAGAAGAACGTGCATGTGTCTCTTTCTCTGCACTTGGGGGAGAAGACGGTGAACACGGATTTTGACAATGCGGTGGCGACGGACAAGAAGGAACTACTCATCCAGTTAGAAGTCATATCGGCGGAAAATGTGAATTTGGGCAGAAAAACGAACATTGCGGAGGCCTTAGCGGTGGGGTTAAAGCAGTCGTTTTCGACTGGACATAGGGAAGACGCCCCCAAGGTAGCGCTTCTACTGACAGATAGTAACAATGATGTGTCTGAGCAGGGGGTGCTGCAAAGCTTGTCTAAGCAGTACGCAGATAGGAAGGTTAAACTGTTGGTGGTGGCGATAGGGAAGCTACCCGAGGAGTTACTATTCATCGCGGCGGGATGTCCCTTGAGCAGTACAGGAGGTGATCTTCGTCATGGTGAGACTTGCCCCAATGTCTTCACCTCTGCTGGATTTTCATACATAAACAACGTGGAGAAATTTTTAAGCAGAAATATATGTGATTGGGACAATGGTGCAGCGCAGGAGGTTGAGCCTCCTCCTTCTTCTTCGCTACCTCCGCCAGATCTCCCATGCCAAGATGACGAATCGTGTGAAGAATGTGACGACGACGTATGCAATAATGACCCGACCTGTAAAAAAGTTTTCGACATAGCAATCATGCTAGATCAATCGCGTAGCATAACGAATGATCAGTGGAAGAAGTACGTGAGGCCTTTCTCCATTTCCGTCATTAAATCGAATTACTTGGCCAAAAATAGGACTCATGTGACTCTGGTGAAGATGGGAAGGACACCAAAGGTGCAATGGAAATTGGGAACGAAGGCTAGCTATAGAAAAAATCAGATGATTAAGAAGGTGAACCAGTTGGTCAAATCGACGTCGAGTAGCAAAGACATCGCCGGTAATTTGAAACACCTACGAGAGAAGGTATTCAGGGGGAACGAGAAGAGGTCTTCTTCTTCCTCTTCTTCTACCACCAACAGGAAGCAGCTCATCATCATGCTAGTGGAGGGAATGTCCGACACCGATTTGAATGAACTCCGAAGAGAAGTAGCGCTTCTCAAAGTGAACAACATTGACCTGTTTGTTTATGCCATAGATAGCATCGATGATGAGGTATACAGAATACTTGGCGATTGTGAACGCACCTCATCCGGGGTTTGTAAAAACGCCGTGAAGGTAACCTGGGATAAGTTACTATCATCTGAGAAGATACATAGCAGCTACATATGCAGCCTCTACCCTGAAGATGCTGAATGTACCGAATGGGGTGATTGGAGCCCATGTCCAGACAGCACCTCCACCACGTGTAACAATTTGGCCGTTAGTAAAAGGGAGAGAAAGGGACCACCATATACATTAAAGGAGGAGGAGTATCTACAGGACGGTCGTCATATGGCTGGGAGCTCGTGCACAGATTTGAACTCCATTGAGTATAAAGCCTGCCCCGTCCCGGAGGAGTGCAACGATGTGTGCGGCGATTTTGGTGAGTGGAGCCAGTGCAGTGTGACTTGCGGGGAGGGCATAAGGACGAGGCACCGCGCGGGGGAAGGAAGCGGAACAGCCAATGGAGCAGCTGGGGACACCTCACGGGCAGCCTCTTTCCAAGATGACGGAGCCGATTCGTGTGACCTGTTCAACAAGACCGAGGTCGAAGCGTGCAATGTCCAGGATTGCGATTCGGCCGAAATATGTGAGGAAGTCGGCGAGTGGGGCGAATGGTCCGCGTGTTCCAAGACGTGTGGATACTCCACCAGAAGGAGAACCTTCGTCATTCTGCCGGAAGACAAAGATGAGTACGCGCACTGCTCGACGTTCGAAAAGGCCGAAACGGAGGTGTGCTCGGTTCCTGCGTGTGAAGATGAGAAGTGCTTCGAGTGGGAGGAGTGGACCGAGTGGTCAGCGCCCTGCGGGCCACGCAAGAGGGTGCAGCGAGCCCGCCGCCTCAATGGGGGTACAAGCGGCAGCAGTGGAAGCAGCGGCAGCAGTGGAAGCGGCGGCAGCAGTGGAAGCGGCGTAGGAGGTACCGCCACCCAGGCGGACGAGTGCGAAGCTTACTATGAGAACAAAATCCAGAGTGATGAGGACGGAACTAACAGCGTTCCCTGTACGGAGAACCCCTGCGGCAGCTGGTCCGAATGGTCCGAGTGCGACCGCACGTGCAACGTCGGAATGAGGATGAGGCGCTTTATTTCGAACATCACCGGTTTGGTAGGAGAGGATACCGATTTATGTTTAGAATATCACAACGAGATAGAGACGGAGCCGTGTCTAAACCTGCCACTTTGCGATCAGGAGGAGTGTAACGACTGGGAGACGTGGGTTCCGTGCGGCGAGGAGGAGGAGCACGGGCGATTGCGGCCGGCAGTGTCGTTGCGGGCTGCGGATGCATTTCCATCGGGAAGAGGCTCCACATCTTGCCATGCCACGCCGAGGAGAAGAATCCTCACGAGAAAACTAGAGTTGCTTCAAAACAAAAAGGCGAGCACGTCCAAGTTCTGCAGCGACTACAATTTATTCAGAGAAGAAGAGTGCCCAGTGTTGGGTGGCGAAACCACGTGCAACGACGCGCTGTGTAACGAGTGGGAAGATTGGGGAGAGTGTTCCCCGACGTGCGGCACGGAATCATTTAGAGTTAGAAGGCGAAAAGAGCCCCTGGAGCTGATTCCCCCATCGGAGGATATGGACGGGAAGATGGGGCTGACCTGTGAGCAGCAGAATGTAAGAATAGAGGAGCGCGAGGCGTGCAGCGTGCCGGCGTGCGCACCGCCATCGGGAGGGGGTAGCAGTGGAGGCGGCGGTGGCAGCAGTGGAAGTAGTGGAAGTAGTGGAAGCGGTAGTGGAGACAGTAGTGGAAGCGGCGGTAGCCAAAGCGACAGTGGCGGCATGGGGACCGGGGAGAAGGTGTCGCTGGCCGCAGGCATCCTCGGGCTCCTGGGCCTCGGTGCGGGTGGCATGATATACGGCTACAACACCCTGACTGGAGGGGAGGCCCCTCACAGCTCGAACATGGAATTCGAAAACGTGGAAGCCGACGGAACAGAGGGGGACAAGGCCAATGAAGACTTTGAAGTGATTGACGCCAACGACCCGATGTGGAACTGAGGGGATGTGGAAGCATGGGAGCGGTACAGAAACAAACAAACAAACGCAAACAAGGACGCATACAAACAAACGCAAACAAGGACGCATACAAACAAACACACACGTGTCGTACCTTCCCATTTTGATGGCAGCACATTCGGCGAGCAGATACGCACGAAATGGAGTTACGCGCAAGTTTGCCCCACCCCCTCTGCACCATTTTTTATGTAGAACCGTTTGGCTCGCTTAGAGAGCTCTTTTGGCTTACTGTCCCAAGTACCTTGTGAATCTCCTCCAAGGTAGGACATTTTTTTTTTTTTTTTTTCTCTCTCTCTCTCTGTTCATGCGAAATTTGTTACATAATTTTGGCACATAACACGCGTAGTAGAATTAAAAAGGCGTTTCAATTTTCGGCAATTAGTTCGTACTTCTGTCCATGCTGTATATGTATTCTTAGGTGAAATAGCGCAGTGGCATATATATATATGGGACAATGTGTGCGCGACATGCAGGAGGCGTTTTTTATGCAGATGATGTGTTCCCTTGCAGTTTTTTCTCTGTCTTTCCATATTTGCGGGAGCGGTTCGATCCAGCTGTTGATGCTGAGGGGCGGTTTGAAGAAAAAAGGAGCGCTCCAGATAAATCTTCCATCGAGTTGGCACTTTGCAAGCGCGGGGAAAAGGCAACTCGCGCTAATTTGTCATCGCGCGCAGACCTGCGTAATGTAGTAGCGTACACTACACGTGCACCGTTGGTTCGTATGGGGGCGCGAAAACTACCTCCAGTTTGAGACGCAGATAAAGATAGAGAAACATAAAAGTAAAGAAGCCCGTTCAGATGCAGGTATGGCCCGCTGTCCCGATAGCATCTTTTAGGGGAACACTTCGCTCAACAAAAAGGAGAAGAAAAAACGATGCGTCCATTGTTTAATAGGATTTATGAAGTAGAGACTTTTTTATTTTTTTATTTTTTTTTTCCCGCGAAATTATTCTGTCCAAATGGTGAGAAAGGTGTATGCTTTTTACTCACAGAAGGGCTAAGTGCCGATTTTAAGAAAAAGATCCTCTCAGATGCGTTGGGATGGAGCCAGGGTAAACCCTTCCGTTTTTTGTCCGTTAATGTCTGGCTTTGTAAATTAGCTCCGCTAGTTGGCGTTATTTCTCTGTCCGGTTTCTTTGCTCCATTTCTTGGGGTCATTTGTTGGAATCCGTTCCCCCCTCCTGGCTTACATCCACACAAGTACGAATAGACTTACGCGCCAGTGGAATGTCTAGACAAGTCGAGAACAAAAATGGATCATCAGCATTGTGTGGAGTGTACTAATTTTATGAAGGAAAAAAAAAAGGATGCAAGGGGTCCCCATTTGGAAAAGCTCCCCATCGATGTTAACGGGGAGAAGTTCCTCCACAATTTTACAACTTACTTGAGGAATGTGAACCAAGCATTTATGCACTCGCGCCACGAAGTGTTTTCCGCTTGCAACTGGAGCAATTTGGAAAGGGTAAGCATTGCCAAGCGGAAGAGGCGACTTTGGGCCTCGAAAAGCCTGCTGGAATGGGGAAGTAATAATATATTCCCATAACCTTGGCCAACCTTTACTTAATGCAGGTCCTAGCCGATTACGGTTCCAGCGATGTTGTAAAAGCGTTCAGTGCGAGATTGGCTTGTGCGCGAAGGTACTCTCCTGAGAAAGCGGCGGAAATTTCTCCACTTGACCATTTTTACTACACCGCTTTGTTTTTTTTTTTCCTTTTCTGTGCCCACTCTACATTTCGCCCATGTGATGCTCATCGCAGCTTTAGGCTGGCGTTGACAGAGAGTTATAAGATGCACAAGGAGGATCAGTACATGGTATGAACTTTGCAATTAAAGAAAAAAAAAAAATAAAATAAAATAAAAAATAAAGTGGCATACCTTTGCTTGGATGCTAAATTTGTGTGCAATTCGTTTTCTCGACTTGATCAATCCTTGGAGTGTTTACGCGTTGTCGTGTTGCAATGTTGGAGTGTAAATCAAGTCAACATGACATCGGGGCGCTTCGTTTTTAGAAAAGCACTTTGGATCGGCAGAGCCAGATTAGACACCGCAAATTAAAACAAAGGTAACTGCATTAGTAGCTGAGTCTTTTCTTGGAAGTTTTTTTTTTTTCTCCTCGACGTCTTCCATGTATTTTCCCCTCATTGATCGTTCTTTTCTCTCCACCCCCCTTCCTGCGTGTAAATAAATTTAGGCACTACGAGCAGATGGAGAAGCAGATGTTCGCGCGGAACCAGAGAGAGTACAGAGCCTTCGAAAGGAAAGAGCTGGTAATTAGGCGGGGAGGGAAACCCCTCCTTATTGCGCCGCTTCCCACTTCCATTTGGGCCACTTCCCGCTTCCATTCGCGCCGCTCTCATTTGTGTCCCCCACTTTGCAGCAAAACGAGCGCGAAAAGGGGAAACGAAAAATGCAGGGTGTTGTCAAGAACATCATCCACGCCGCGTTCAAGGTGGCACAAATGGGAACCACCTACGGAGATTCCTATTTTTACAACACTTTGTTCTCCTTGGAGAAGTCTTTTTTTATGAGAAAAATAAAAAATATGAGTGAGCTTGCCCAGAATAATACCCGCATGAATGAGCTAACTGTGGCGAGCACGCCGATGGGTCTGTTTGAGAAAGGGGAAAAGAAAGAGGAAAAAAAAGGGGAGACAAAAGGGGAGGCAAAAGGGGATAAAACAGGGGAGAAAAAAGGGGATAAAACAGGGGAGGAAAAAGGCGAGAAAGAGCAAAAAATGGAGGGGAGAACAACTGGAGGCAGGTCTATGGGACCGCTCCTCCGGGGTTCGCTTAACCAGCTGAATTTTCTGAGATGCCAAGGAACCGTGGACAGGTTTTTCCTCCTGGATCTGCGAAACATCTCAGGTTCGCGGAGGGTGACACCTCCATGCACACATGCGTAGCCATCGTCCAATTCGATTCCTTTTGTCAAAGGAGACCCCATCCTTCCTTCCTATCACCCCCTCCACCAACACACCAACAAAGCAGGAAAAAGACACAGCACAGAGAAACGTGCATACATGCACATGTTGGCGGATCTAGCTAACCAAGGCGAGCTGTCTGGAGTGAACAGGAAAGAACTCCATTCTGAACGTCCGGACATACGTTATGGAAAGCGCTACTCCAATTATAGAGCAAAAATGTTGGAGGGCCTCCCACAGATCGATCTGAATTACGTAAAGGAGAAACTGGTGAGAAGACGTCTAACAAGGAACGGGGAAATTTACACGGACATAGCTCCTCCGGCATCTTCTTTTTTTTCTCCCTTTTTCGCGCTTTCTCATCATGCACGTTCAATGTTCTTCCTCAGGGGGATAAACACTTCTCCATTTTGCCAATGGACCTTGTTGAAGAAAGTTAAATTTTAAGATGCGCCAGATAAATGTGTCTTTTTTTTAACCATGTGATGTTGGGACGTCACAAGACAGAGCTGTGTCTATACCCTACTGCAAGTGAATGCAGCGACATCACATTACCATTTCTCCTTCTTTCATTTCCTCCAAATTAGAAGTTAAAGAATTGCCACTACTGAAGAGTTTACTGCTGACTTTGTTTAAAAAAGGGTTCGCTTGAAAGGCACTTGCAGAGGGATTCCTGCCCCTTTTCCCCTCATTTGTTGTCACCTCGATGGGAAATATCCCTACCTCCATTCAAGTGTACTATAGTCATCTTTTTTTTTTTTTTTTCTCTCTCTCTTTTCTTTTCTACCTTTCCAGGCCGAGGGAGAGCCCTTCCTGGGGGAAGTACAAATTTCCCCTAAGAATTGCAATCACAGGGAAAATCAAAAAAGGTGGGCCAAAATCATGGGCTCAATTGGGCACACACAGACGGACAGTATATATGGTGCACAGACAGATGTGGAGAGATAACTGCGGGTGGCCTCCTCAAATAGCGTTATGATATGCAGATCTTCCCTCCCACGGCCGTCACTTGGTACCTCTGGCCCTCTTTGCAGACGCTGAAAGGTTGGCTGAACATCTAAGGAGGAGATTCCACCTAAAGGTGTACAACGCTGATGAGATCGAAGAGGACGTCCGGCGGATCTGCAGCGGAGGGAGCAATCACGATGGTAAGTGTAGCTAAGGAGAAGAAGCGGGCATAACTTTAATTATGAAGAGAGCTCTTCAGTATAGATAGTTTCTCTAGCTGACGAATAACACTTCCATACCGCTTCACCACGTCACCACAAAATGCAGACCCGCGGGAGGAAGCAACTACACACACACAAATGAACAGAAGGAGAATCGCCAGGAAGATAAAAAGGATTGCTCAAACATTAAGACAAAAGAATTATGAAGAAAAAAACAGGGACAGTCTCTACGCCGATCTGTTGTATTACGTCATAAAGCATGATTATGACCTCTTTCATCTGAGCAGAAGGCGGAGGAAGAGCAAAGTGTCCATGGAAGTCTCCCCAAACGAAGGAAGAAGCAACTCAAAAAGGAACAAGTACAGAGGATACATCATCGTCAACTTTTTTTATTCCCTAAAACAGTACATCCTGTTTGAGCTGAAAGTGAAGAAGATTTTTATTTTCAACGATTTTTTACATGAACATGTTGATAATTTAAAAAGGGGAGAAATATCACGTGAGGATAACACACCCCGTAATAATCAACCAGAGATGCCAAGAGAAGAAGACGCAAAACAGGGAGTGAACTATCCTTGTAGGAAAACTTCACCAAAGGGAAAGAACAAACAGAGTGGTAATAAGAAGCAAAACGGTAAAGCTGCCACAACGGGGAGTCCCCTCCCCAAGGATAGCGATGCACACATGGAGGAGCAAATCACAACAGGACAGCTTACAACCCAGATGGAAAAAAGAAACATTTTATTCTTCTCCAATTTTATTTGCAACATTGATCATTCGAATCGCGTCAAGGGAAAGGACCACTTCTCCGGGGCGACTGATTTACACTTCCATGTTGATAGGAGCAATAGGGAGATAAACCGAATTTTATTTCGCCGCATCACCAAGGGAGAACTCTCCACGGAGGCTGGCCGAGAAGAGGACAAGGGTGGAAACACAGAGGGAAACTCCTCCCCCAAGATGATAAGTGATGGATTCGTAAAACTGAAAAGAATCAACACTACTAGTGTGCTAAGAAGGCAAAGCGACACCGAACTTGGGACGCCACAAAATTGTAAAAAAAAAAACAAGCATACAATGAGGTGCAGAATTGTAAGTAGGAGAAAGCTTCAAAAAAAGAGGCAAGACGAGAAAGACACCAAGTGTACGTTCTTGGATAACGAAGGAGTCGACCCTGATGAGGAAAGGTTCCGCTCCAACTTGCTTCTAATGAGACGGATTTTCCAGATGGACCGAAATTGTCAAGAGGTAGAGGCATTCCTAAAAGCGTATGACGGGAGGTCCATATACCCACGGTTTCATCGGCTGGGGAGGGACCCTTGCAGATCGGCGAGTCTTCTCGTTTGGAAGGTTTTGCGCAATGGACGGGGGAGGAAGATGGAGGAGCCCAGAGGAGGGGAAGTGGATGACTCCGTGGGGGGCATAATCCAAGAAGACGCTAAAATGGAGGGTAACTGTGGTGCTAGAGGAGGCTCTCCCCGCAGGATAGACACCGACACAGCCATCTACTTCAAAATGCGGTACTGTAACGTTATCAAGGAATACGTATCCCACATGTTTAACCTCTTCGTGTGGAAAGAAAATCTGAAAAAAAACGTGGAGCAGACGGTTCAGAACATACACAGCAATATGCACATGTTCACAGACCATGTGGATATTGAACCCATTAACGAAATAATCCAATCTTATAATCGGTTGAGACAATCTGGAGTTCAAAACGAGAAAGTGGAGCTAGTCCTGTGTAAGGCGATAGACACCATTATGATGAGAAGCTGGCTTCACATTTTGAAGGGGAAAAATGACTCCAGACAGAAGGAGAAAATGTGCATACAGAAATGGATTCACATGCAGATGTTTCTCCTGATCTTTTTCGCCTTCTATCGGATCAGCATAGAACATGAGTTGTATGTTAAGCTGTCCCACTTTGTCAACGAAATGGTGTGCTGCCTGCTCAGTCAGGAGGATGGGTCGCCATCCAAAAATGAGAAAGAGAAACACTTGCTCATTTTTAATTATTTCCCGAAAAGTAAAAAAGATTTTTACTCCTTCGAGGGGGACAATTATCACTTCCCATTTTTGCAAACTCTTCGGGAGGATGTGCGCAAGTTTCTAACGGACCATCTGAACGGAAGAAGTTCAAGCAAGGCACGAAGTGATCAGTCCAGTGGTCATGACCCCGTCTTCCACACAGGACAGGAGAAGGATACCCTCCGTTTGACCAAAGAGTTCCATCTCTTAAACAGCTTCAGATTTGTTCACAAATTTAATTGCCTTCTCAACGATACGGTTTCAACTCTCAGAGCGTACTTTTTCATTTTTCACGATCTTAATAACTACATCGACGATTTTATCGCTTTGCACTACTTCTCCATGTACAAACAGGTGAACTTCGCTTGCGCGCGCGTAAAACGGGCCATCCGAAAGGGAAGGCATATCCATTTTTACTACACAGGGAGGCTTCGAAAAGGAAGGGAAGAAAGACGCCTTCGGGATGGGAATGGAAAAGGGAGAGAATGGAAGAAGACCTCGTCTGGCTTGGCCCAATCTAGGAAGGAGGACAACATCTCAGTCAACACGGCATACAAATCTGCAAAGAGGAGAAAAAAAACAAAATGCAACATTAAAAATGAGGAACATCCCTCTTTTAACATCACCGAAATGAAACAATCTTTGCGAAATAACATGACGTTTACTTTTTTCAAAAATATCTTGAGCCACATCCTTGTAGAACATCACTCCGTTATGATATCCAGAGCGGACCTCCAAAATGCTATCGCGAAGAGTCTCCTTTTTGTGAAGGATAAGACAGAACAAGTGAATATCTCCAAATTGATTGGTGGGACTCTCCTAGACTCCTATTTCAAAGAACGCAGTGTCTCCCCGGAGCCCTTCCTCCTAGAAGGAAGTCGGAAAGACGATAATAACGATTCGACATGTGTCTTTCCTAACAGGGAGGGAGAACGAAACAGATATGTTTTCTTCCTAGACTTCTTTCTCTTTCTTATTTTTTTTTTCTTCAAAAAGGAGAACCATCGTAATTGCGCTCACAAGGTTAGCTCTTCGTGTGCGTCCTCAGCGTGTGGCGGCTCTATGGGCCCCTTTTTTCTCCTTGTCGTGTTTACCTGGTGGAAAGCCTACTTCTACACACCACGTCTACACACCACGTCTACACACCACGTCTACACACCACTTCCACACAACGCCTCCTCTATGATTAGATTTTTCCGAATTACTTGAACGTCCTGGAGCAGAAGATGGCATCCAAGGGAGAGCTCAGTGGGGGCGAAAGGCTGCAGGTGCTAAGGGGCTGCCTCTCCTTTTGGGCAAGCTTGACTGATGAGGACAGCCCGCTTGGCGGAGGTGGTTTGGCTGAGCAGGGCGTGACCGCATGGGCCGAAAAGGGCAGAGAAAAGGGCAGAGAAAAGGGTGCACAGAAGCAAGACGGTGCAGAGAAGGGTGCAGAAGAGGGTGCAGAAAAATGTGGCTCGGAAGACGCCGCGAAAGCTTCTTCATACGATGCCGCTAAGCAGGCAGCTAGCCAAAACTGCGCAGAAAGAAACCACCTTAATGGCACACACCAGGAAAAAAATTTCCAAAATTGCGAAGAAAGCATCGACTACTTCACATTCGCACAGTTTGCCGCCTTGGGACTATTCGACTTCGCGAAGGACACACAGAACAAGCTCACAAAGGAAGAAACAAAAAAGCAAAACTACGAAATTTATCTGCTAAATAAACTTGTTTTTAATTGTTTATTTTCACTTAGTTTATTTCCTAATTTTTACGAACATGTCCAAATATATGTAAGAAAATATTTGTTGAAAAAAAATGCAGAATTGGTCTCCTACTTTGAAAAGTGCGTGTTGGAGAAAATGAAAAATACAGAGGAGAGGGGGTATGTCCACGTCGCCCCTGCGCAGGCATGGGGGGAGGGAGTAAATGATTTGAGAAAGGGGCAAGACCATTCTGCGACGCTGTTTAATAATACAAAAAAAAAGGTAGGATAGGTGTGGCCGCGCGCGGAGTCGCGTTGGCACAGGTGCCGATGTGCTGACGAGCACGCACGGACGCATGCACGCAACTAACCGCGGGCGCACCCCTTTCACTCCTCCACAGGTGCGGGTAAAAGAAATACTCATTTTTTTTCACACCAGCTATCATGACGACTGCTAAAAGGGAGCGAAATGACTTCAACGGGGCAACTTCGACACAACTTCGACGCAGCTTTGACACAGCTTCAGTGACGCCAGTAAGACAACTGCTCGCCATTCGGGAAGAATCAAATTTGATGATGCTCCCCCAATGGCCAGTGATTTAAAAAAAGGGGGAGGGGGCCAGGAGTTCACGAATGGGGAAAGTGCCTAATATTTCCTACGCGCGTCGCGTAGGAAGAAGCCTCGGTGTTTCGTCTGTCCACAGCTTCACTGCCAAAGTGACATTTTGAACCACACAGGTAGAGGAAAGAGACCATTAACATCGCGCTTGGTTAGCCTTTCCCCCCCCCCCCTCCTGAACCCTAAACCTGATCCCTAAAACAACGTTTCGTCAAAATTAAAAAAAACCGTAGACTCCAACACACGCTGATCATATTTGTTAAAAAATATTTCGATAAAATTCTGGAACCGTTTCATGTACGTCGATTTCTGGAATAATTCCTTCAGATAATCCATGAGGGCAAATTTGGATTCACTTTTTAATTTTTCACTTTGACCGAAAAGGTGCAGTGGACTCTGCTGGTTTGCGTCGTTCTCTGCGTCGCTGTCCTGGCTGCGTTCGATGTTTTCGCTACTGTGGTGCTCAGCTGTTTCTGCCCCCTTCGTATCATTATAGCTAGGCTTTTCGCTATCATTGCTAACATTGCTATCACTGTCAACACTGTGGAGAGTCGTTTCTCCCCTTTGGGCAGCCGGGTAGCTGCTGGGAAGCTGTCTGTTCAGGACATTCCCACTGGGGAAGCCTCCCTTGCGCCGACTGTTCCGCACTGCTTCATCGTTACTCCCCCTCGCCACTGCACTGTAGGTGGCAGCTCGCACCCCATCGTAACTTCTATTATTATCCTCAATTCCCTGATTAATTTGCATACCCTCCATGCTCCTTCCTTGGTAATAAGGTTCCTTTTTTTCCCTTTCCTTCATCTGTGCCTCATTCGGATATAACGTCTTAAATAATCTGTTCAATTTTTTGTTCATCTTGGTGGCACTTTTTTCCTTCCTGGTGTTGTAATCCTCTTGAGCGTTTTGACTCATCCACTTCAAATGGCTTTCCTCTCTCTCCTTGGTTGCCATAGGCGTAAAAAAGACGTTCCTACTCGGGTTTGTATTCTTGGATGGGCTAAATGAGTAGGCGCCTGTGCATGGGATAAGAACTGCGAGGTAAAGGAGTAACCTTAAGACGGAATTACCCTCCATTTTGAAGCTCGACTGGGATTTGTGCCTTTTGCGCGGGGATGCCAAATGACATGAATGGGGGGGGAGGGGAGAAGCGGTCCAAGTGATGCTCCAGCTGGTAGTTTAATCCAACTGGTAGTCGAAGTGATATTCCGAGTGATAGTCCACGTAGGGTCGGGGTCAGCCTTCCTTTCAGTCTCGCTGCAAGCATGTATACGTGCATACGATGGTGTTGATAAGACGACTGTCACCTTTCGCGCCTCGGGGGAGAAATGAAGACGTTCGAAAAAAGGCACTGCGCAGGGGTAACTTCGTTCGAGCAATCCGCTTGCTCAGTAGTGCTCAGCGTGGTCTCTGTTCCTTTGCTATGCTATGCTTTGCTTCCCTGTTTTTTTTTCGTTTTTTTGTTCCTTCCTTAAGTGGATCCAGCACCTTTGAATCGCTCCCTTTTTTGTGCTTCCCCAGTTTGGCGCTCTCCGCCCGGTTGACTATAGTCGTCCCCAGAGCACTCGTGCAATCAGTGTGTTCTGTCGTTATCAGCTCACCCCGCGACAGGCATCTGCCTCAGTTGTTAATTTATAAAATCGGTTAAATCGATTAACCCAGCGTGGGCCGCCTTCCTTTGATACAAAAAGAAAATAGGAGGCCACGTTTTGGCTTCGCTTCTTTCCTTTTCTTTCCTTGTGGGGGTGAAATTCGTCAAGTCACACCTCCACATGGGAGCAGCGAATTAACTTCTTTTCCTTCAGAACGGGAGAGAGCATATCAACAAATGGGCAGTGCAATGTTGGTATGTTCACACATAAGCCCTGCATACGTATGCATTATATTATGCCTTAATCTGGTGTGCCTCCTTTGTGCTCTATATATATATATATATCTGCGGAGAGGCTTACAAAAAATGGTTCATTTTATCGAAACGTTTCGCAAACTCGCCCTTGGAATTTATTCTTCCGTTTGTTCGTTTGATCGCTAGTTCGTTCGCTCGCCCGTTTGTTCTTTTTTTTTTTTTTTTTTCTTCCACTTGGTCGTTCCAAAATGGCGGGCGGGCACACAGTCGAGCGGGCGGTGAGAGAAAGGCAGAGATAGTCGCCAAGGGGGGGGGGGTTGCCCCGTCGACTCCCTGTGACACCCGTTCGGTTGAGTGCATCCTGGAACGACACAATTGCAGGTGCGTATGCCTCGTCACCTGGGGACAGATTCCCAGAAGAGGAGCTGTGAACAAACTGGTGACGCCTCTTTTTCTCTTTCTCCACGAAGAGGTACGTGTTATGCGCTGTTTCGTTCGCCACATTTTTGTGTATCCTTTTTATGAGGGGCATCCCTCGGAGCGGCTCGCCACAGGTGTCGTTTTGGAGTTGCCAAAAAGGGGAAAAAAAAGGGGGGAAAAAAGGGGGAAAAAAAAAGGGGAAAAAAAAGGGGAAAAAAAAAAGGGGAAAAAAAAGGGGCAAAACAATGGCGAAATAATAGCAAAAAAAAATGCGAAAAGTAATGCCAAAAATGATGACGAAAAAACGGCAAAAAGGATCACCGAAGAATGACGGCAGAATGACGAAGGAGTGCCAACGCAACACGCATCCTTTGTGTGGGGACAAAAAGCCTCCGAAGCCCAGCACGGCCTTCTTCAAAAAGTGTGTAGCCGTTCTCTCCTTTCAACAAATGGAAACGACGCAGCGGTGCTTCTAACCCCCCACCACGCACACATCTTCGGGTCAGTAGAAGCGACGCAGCCTAGACATGTTGTTTCGGAGAGCCACGACGTTCTGCTTCTTCCACGAAATGAACCCAGGCAAATCGGAGTACTTGCGCTGGTATCTAAAATTAGGAATGAGCAAATGCATGGTCTCTTTTTTAAGAGGATTCAAAAGAATCGACAGATGATCAATTTTGTTTTCAATCTTGCTAATGGATAAACGTAGAGAGTTTTTTTCCACGGAGAAGGTACCTTTCAGCATATTCATTTTGTGCCTTAAATAAAGTAATTGTTCCTCAAGTTGGAACTTCTCCGTCTCGTAAACTTCCCTTTCTTGTTGTTTTTTTAACATTTCCTTGGCTCGAATGCATTGTTCATGGATGGCGCGTCGTGACAAGACGGTTAAAATTCTTTTCATCGTAAGCTTCACCTTCTTTAATCGCCCCGGTTGCATCATTTTGCTGTTGTTCTGTAAGTGGAAATTCTGTTCTCCTAGTAGTTTGTTTTTTTCCTTCAAACATAGGTAGTAGAGTTTGTGGAGGTCATCAAAGCTCTTCTTCCTTAAGAGTACGCATGGCCATGCATCTCCCGTTTTGCTGTTTTCTACTTTTGTTTTCATGGGTACGTTGTCTAGGAAACTGTTCTTCCAAAGCTCCTCTATTCCCCTCTGGGGTACGAATTGCAGCTGGCTCTGCATCCCACGCAGTCCTCGCATCCCGCGCAGCGCCATCGTACGGGAAGCGGCAGGTTTTTGCGCTGCCTACCCGGCGTGCTTCCAACGTGCAACCTCCTTCCTTCCTGCTTGCAACCTACGTGCTACCTACGTGCTCCCTTTTAGCTCCCCCTCCCGAGGGATGCATCACAGGGGGGAAATGGGTCAGGCTGCACTTCCGCGGAACGAACCGGGCATACGGCGTTCTACAGCGGAAAAAAAGGCAACGCCCCCAATAGGTATTCCTCCTTCTTCTGTAAGTGTGTTACTGCCTTTTCCCTGATGCGCAAGGTGTATGGATTTTCATTTTTATCTCCTTCTTGCGTGTTTATGAAGGGAGCGGTGGGGGAACAGTCTCAGCGTTGCGCGAAGCTGAGTCGGGTCGAAATTCCTTCTACGGTTGCTTTCCCCTTTATCCTTCCAAGAGGGGGAGGGTTGCATCTTCTCCTTCTGCTTACCCACAGAAGGGCACATCACAAAAATGCATAATAGGATTAACTTTGCCGAAGGCGAATTGCTACTTCCACGTAGAAGAGTGGGCTATCAAATCACATTCGCAATTTTTATGAATACTGTCATACCCTCAAGGACACCATGATGGTACTCTCTCTGGGGGGGACCTACGCAGAGGAACGTCAAATGGGGATTCTCATCACCTTCGAAATTATCCTCTGCTGACATTTTCCCATTATGCTTATCTTCTCTGATGTGTCATCACCACGTGGGGGGGTTATTTTTACCTTTTTTTTTTTTTCTTTATCTTTACCTTTTTTTTTTTACACGATAGAGAAACGGAGTGAGGGGTTTCCCTGAACGGGCTATACTGCCGCGATACTGCTGCGACACTGCCCATACGACCCTTGGCGGGCGGGGGAAGTCCCGTTCCAAATTTTTAAAAAATAAAGGTGCGGTGACGCGGCTGGTTTCTACGATGCGATGTTCTGAGGGGTGGGCCAGATGGTGGACCTCTCGAAGGTGTGTGCGCAAATACCTTCATGTGACTGCTGGCGATTGAACTGCTTTGCAATTGAACTGATTTGCGAATAAACTGCGTCGCTGCCGCAGCGCCTGTCGCCCTGGCGTGTGTAGGTCAAACGGCAGCAGGAGCTACCGGGAGGGTGAAAGGAACATCGCGGGAGGAGGTGGCCCACCGATGTAGGGAGAAGCGGACGTGAAATTCAGCCCCCCCGCCCTTAGTATCCAATTAACAGGCGCGATCAAGCATCTCCCATCATGACGAACATACTTCATCATCTCCTCTACACTGGCAGCACATTTGGCCGCTGCTTTTCCCCCCCTCTTTTTTTAAGTAAAAAAAGAATCAAACTGCTAACTGAATCGTGAAAGGGACAGATACCTAGGAGATGTACTTTTTCCAAAGCGGAACAAATGCTTAGCTTACTGAGCCATCTTAAAAGGGGGAAAAAAAAACTTAGTATGGAAGGCATTAACAAAGTGGAAAAGCATTCACAAGCTGGGCAAACGGCGAAAGGGTTAAACACAATACACCCTTTTCTTTTTTTTCTTTTTCCCGCATTGAGATCCCCAATTTGTGCATGTAACAAAAAAAAAAAAAAAAAAGCCGGCGCTTTAACGTACATAGGTGTGGTCACATTTCACCGTTTTAGCTGCGCCGTGGGTGGCCTGCCGGGGCTCCATCGTAGCTCCCCCCAAGAGGACTGAATTACCATGTGGTATGTAGAAGGGGATAGTATAGTACCCTCTTTGCCTGGGCGCGGATTAACCTTCTACATATTGCGGTGTGTACGCAAAACGCGCGCCGGTGTTCTACCAGCGGGCTGGCATCCAGTTAGAAGAGGAATGTTGTTACGGTAGAAGCGGAATACCGTCGAGTTAGAAGCAGAATGCGGTCAAGAAGCAGAATACCGTCGCGTGAACAGTCCCATGAGGAGCATTTTAGGTTCCACCTTGTGCACCTACGTATGCCCACTTACCGAAACCGACTTTAACATTTTTTTTTTTTGCGAATGATACATATTTTTCCACGCCCTTTCATACACGCCGAGCATGGGAAACATGCAAAAAAAAATAAAAAAAAAAAGTACCCTCTGGGATATATATCCCCTTTTGGATTTTTACTCGACGTGATGGAAGTTATCATCCCCCACATGGATACTCTTCCAGGAAATGTATTCCCAGGTAACATTATGCCTACCTGAAGCTATGTGCCACATTTTCTTTTTTTTGGGGCCAGGGGTATGTTTTGAAGCATCTGCACCTGTGTAGACGCGGCTTCTTATGCAATGTAGCATATATATTGACCCATGCCAGCTACCGTCCTAAGGGTACTTTTTTTATGTCGTTTTTTCACGCGTCTATTGAGTGTCCGGTCGCTAAACTTTACTGTACGCGTTTTGGCATTTTCAGCGCCTTTTTTTTTGCACGCAAGATTTTAAGTGAAATTGCGTAAAACGAAACGGAATGAAATGAAAATTAAATTGAATTAATTTTAATTTATTTTTTAATTTCAAATTGTTTTCTTTTTATTTTATTTTTTCACTTCACTTTAATTCAACATCAACTTTCGAAATCTACACACGAGAAAAAAACTTTTTAATTGATTTTTCCTTCCTATCTTTGATAGTCATCTTTTTATTACAAGATAAGTTTTTTTTTTTAAATTGAGACTTTTATCGATTCTTTTCGCTAGTTTTAAGTGGAAGGCCTTGAGCTTCCTAGAGCCGCAGCTGGACTACTGGCCTATCCTTTGCTGGGAATTCTGCCAAGGGGATCGTTAAGAGTATTCTCAACATCTATGTTGTGAATCTTGTTAAGTGCCCTGTTTCTTGCCCGGTTACCAGTTGCCTATCAGCTTCTTAGCTTCCTACTTAGCTCCCTACTTAGTTGCCTTCTTATCTGCCTTGCTTATAACCCCGTTGACAATCTTTTTGAGAGCCTTGTGAATGATCCTGTTGGGTGTGTAGTTAGCAGCTTGTTAGTGTATTCTTATCTGCCTTGTTAATTCTTTACCTACAATCTTGTTGATAACACTGCTGAGAGTCCTTTTAATATCCTTCTGGAGATCCTTTTAATGTCCTTGTGGATACCTTTTTAATGACCTTGTGGATACCTTTTTAATGTCCTTGTGTAGATCTTTTTAATGTCCTTGTTGATACCTTTTTAATGATCTCGTTCATACCTTTTTAATGTCCTTGTGGATACCTTTTTAATGTCCTTGTGTAGATCTTTTTAATGCCCTCGTGGAGATCTTTTTGATGCCCGTTTTGAGACCTTGTTAATAACATTTGCTGTGAATCCTCCTGAGAGCCTACCGAGCGGCTGTGCTACTGTTCAAGGGTCTCTTGAAAGAGCCTACCTTATGAGGATACACCATTATTGAGTCCACCCTTTAACCTTGCCATCGCCTCTACATCTTCCTAATTCGTTTTCCGTCCCCTGAATCGCCCCAGAAAACTGCACATGTGCATACTTACCTACAAGGGATTCCCCTTCGATGCGTCTTTCTTCTGCTCGCTCTGTACTTTGACTTCGTCACCAGCTGGATTGTGAAGGTGTGCCTTCCCTACCTATTGCACCGCAGTGATTGTATTGCCCCGCTGAGTGTATTGCCCCATTGAGTGTATTTCCCCGCTGATTGCATTTCCCCTCCCGACTGGTCCAAATAACCTTACGTAGTTCTTCGGGTTGTAGTGGACCATCCCTTTGCCATTCTTGAGAAATCTGCATCACGCTGCCCCATCTTTCCCGACACCCGCGGGGAGCACCTCCGTACACGCGTACGTGCATGTGTAGATAGACCCCTGCATGGCTACAAACCTATGTGAGTGCAAACGTACGTCAGGGCACAGTTAAACACACGACTGCACACTAAGTTGCCAATTCAAAGAAACAAAAAAAAAAAAAGGTACGTAAACCTATGCGAGCCTTTAACTCCATAGGAGAGATATTTATACTTTTCCCCCCTTCCTTTCTGCGGAACCTTTTTGCGCGACCTTTTTGCAACTGGGCTGCTTCACGCACCCACGTGCGCATCTCTGCGTGTCTACCTTTTCCATGCCTACCTGTTCGTGTCCTTGGACCAACATAGAACGGCGCATGCGTGTATAAGTTATTGCAACAGCGTGACTGCCATTGGACCATCGTGATCGCGACTGCGATTGGACCAACCTGATTAGGCGTACTTCTCCACACATACGTGCTAAGGCGGAAATCCCTACGCGTGTCAATTGACCCCCACACACGCTGCCACTAAAGGATGGACAACTCGAGGTTAAACGAACACATGCTGAAGGGGTTCAGCGGAGGAGACGCAAATAATCAGTTGGACAGTGACCCTCAATCAAAGCTGGCTTCACATGACTGTGCTGAGACGAACTCTCTCCTTGTTGCAATGCATAAAAATGAAACAGAGATAAAAGGAGTGAGCAATATGGAGATATGTTTTCCTACTATGGGGCAAACATCGGATCAGGGGTCCACTGATTCACACCATGTGCTGTGTAAAGATGAGGAGAAGAGTGAATGTATGGAATGGAATGCTTCACATGATGCATTGGGGTCAGATCAAAGAATGAAGGGATATTCTCCTCTCCTTAATTTGTCTCACTCGAGTGACGTGTGCCTATCCTTTGGAACGATGTTTCACGACAAGGGTAAATCGAAGTTGCGTGCCGATAAAGGAGCACATGAAAGTGGCTCCATAAAGTGGTGACACCTGCATATGATATGCCCCTGTGTAGTGCACGCGATGATTTGTCCATGCAATGATGCCTGCATTTCTAGTGGATAAAGTGCCTCTTCCTAAAAACACACACATGTGCAGCGTTCATGTGGATGCTCCCCCGACTATTACGCCCCCTTCTGTTCCCCCACGTCACTTCATTTAATTATTATTATAGTTACTATTATTATTTTATTTATTTTTTTTTTTTCTCTCCCCTCCTTGAAGGCACGTGCAATCCATGCAGATACGAATGGACACACGGGTGCCACATGGGGGAACACTGCAGGTTCTGTCACCACCCCTCCCATGTCAGCCCCAGTACCAAGCGCGTCATTCCGGATCCACAAGATTTAGAGGAAACAAAAGTCACACCTGAGAATATCTTGTCCTCATGGAAACGTAAACGTAACCCTTTTTCTCGCGCCACCCCTACCGAGGGGGCAAGCCCTCTAATGGGTCCAAAGTTATACATGCAAGTACATGCATGAACGTGTATGGATATCCTTGTGCACATGGTGAAACGAAGCCTAGCCAGATTGAAAGTTTTCTCCACCCCGCTAAGCCATCTTTCAACGTCCACCTCTTTTCCTTTTTTAGCCAATTCTGATGCACCGACGAGCGGTTCTTCAAATGAAGATCTTGTAGAGGCTGATCATCACTGTCGACGCGGGGAAAATGGTAAAGCAGTACATGGCACAGATGAGGACACCTATGATGAAGAGTCGCCGAACGAACGCGTCAATACCAAAGTCGACATTTCTGCTAACTGCATCACCACAGAGGACGATAGCAGTGTAGCATATCAAGAAATTCAAGAGGATTATGAAGATATCCTACACAGTCGAAGTGGCCTTGTTCTTGACAGTGACATGTCCAGTGAAGGCTATATGGATTACGAAGCAGTCGTGAGAAGTGGCCGCCAACCGAACTACGAAGAAGTGATGAGCGCTCGAGGAGACGTACAGCATGAAGACACGCAGAGAAGTGGGGCCGAAGACATGTATGAATATGCTCGTAGCGGAAGTGATCCGGGGAACCGTGGCGTTATGTCTGGAATGTGCGATGTCTCTCTTGACAGTTCGGTCAGTCATGTGTGTGTGCTGAATCGAGCCTACGTGGTAAGAGCTGACTTCGACGAGGAAGCTTCGGACGGAGCTGCGGACGGAGCTGCGGACGAAGCTGCGAACGACAATGGTGGGAACTCTGTTGCTGCTGCCCAGGATGACGCCGCCGACGACCATGCTGAGCGTAACATGCAGGGTGACCGTGTGGAGAACCACGACGGAGAAGAAGAATTCACAAATGGAGACAACTACTCCATGGGAAGAGACTATGATGTAGATTCTGAAAACCTCCGGGGCAGAGATCGCCTCATTGTTGTGAGCAGGTTCTATGGTGGTAAGGACCTTAACAGCATGAACAACTTGGGCTTCACGGGCATATATACTAGCTTGCTTAATGTTTCAGATGAGAGGAGTGGTTCCTACACACAGGGCAATCAGGAGAATGACGGCAATCAGGAGAATGACGACAATGATGACAACCACGACAACCACGACAACTACGACCATCACGACAATGACTACAATGAAGACAATGACGACGATGACGACGATGAAGACGATGACGACTGGAACGTTGACTTCAATCTGTCTCACAATAACCACCTATTCACCACAGACCTTTGTAACAGAACCCATTCTTCGAGAGAGCCAGAATCCGCCAGTGGCAGCAGCTTCACCAACAATATGAGTTATTTAGGAGGTACCACCGTAACAGAGCGCAGTGTCTCCGAACCCAGGATGAATGATGTGAGCAGCGAGATCGAGATGGAAAGTCCTACTCACCTGGGAGTACTCGATCAGCTTAACGCCCCGAACGGTGAAATCCCTTTTGGCAGCTTCATCGGCATGACACCATTTGGCAGCCTGGACGACGTGAACCCATTTGAAGGGTTGAACGATGTAAACCACGTTGGAAGCCATAACGACGTGAACCACGTTAGCAGCCATAACGACGTAAACCCCTTTGGCGGGCTGAACGGAATGAACAGAATAAACGAAATGCAGGGCGTGAACCGAATGGACAGCTCGAACTTCACGGACGGTATGGACGAAGCCCAGAGAATGAAAGACATAATCGAATCCGAGCACATGAAGCACATGAACGAGATGCACGAAGCGCAGCGCATGAATGGAAGAACGTGTCTTACGGAGAGTGTGAACCCAGTGAGCGACGAGAACTACGCTGAATTTCAGCTCAAATGCCAGAACAGTGTCAGTGACATTAAAAAAGTGAGTGAAATTAACAACGTGAGTGACATTAACAACGTGAGTGACATTAACAACGTGAGTGACATTAACAACGTGAGTGACATTAAAAAAGTGAGTGACATTAAAAAAGTGAGTGACATTAACAACGTGAGTGACATTAACAACGTGAGTGACATTAACAACGTGAGTGACATTAACAACGTGAGTGAC